ATGCAGTCAAACTCTCTCACATTTCTCAATATATACTAAAACGCTGAATTCAAAATTAAAGGGTTTTAATGATCAGAAAGAACACTTCTGTATGTATTCGTGCTACGGAATTCTCAGGGGTTTCCTCAGGAAAGTGGAAGTAGTTTGTCAGTGAACACGGTCTTGTGAAAACGTTTGAACGTCAAATTGTGTCGTTCATGCACTTATGAACGTCAATTTTGCGGTCATGTGACCGTCTTACCTCTCGTCCAATGGAAAAGCTGTATATCTTGTAAACTTCAAATGAAAAAATGATAAAGATTTAAATGAACTTTCAAATATCTCATTGAGAAATATAATCATTTTTTTTCCAAATTTGCCATGGGCACATAGTTTGGAATCTAAGGTAACTCCAAGGATTTGACTATGGACATATTGGCAATTTTTATTCACAATTTTCAAGTCTTTGAAAATCAACTTTCTTTGTCCTTACCCTCATATCATCTTTTTTTTTCGCCCAATTTATGAGCAAATTAGATGTCAGCTAAATTCTAAAACAATTCAGCTTCATTTCTTTCCCATCTTGATTCAGAATTCCATCTTAGCAAAAGAAAACCCACACAGAACACACTTGTTCCTTCTATGACTCCAACTTTTGAGTGAAGATGCCACTCAAAAACCAAAGGGTGTATCAAATATCCACAATACAATTGTGCAGCCTTTTTAACTGTCTGTTTAAGTTTATTTTCAAGGTACAGAAATCAGATATACCCGTTCCAAGAATTTATGATCCTTGATGCTGATTGGCTGATTAGAACATTCACCCGATGTGACCTTCTATGGGAGTGTTGTCAGATCTTCATACAGAGAGAAGGGGGCGGTCTGGTAGCCGAGTGGTTAAAGGTTACACACAACCAAATGTTTTCCCATAGACTTCTATAGTAACATTATGATTTTTTTAAAAATAACTAAGCATTCAACAGCTATTACCTGTACGTGTGTGCACAGTTTGGCCTTAGAGCAGCAATAAAAAAAATAAAAATGACTAGCTTAGCCAGCTCCTTTTCCGAGTACCGGAAGCTACCCCCAGTTTCGCACCAAATGTCACCTACTTGAAAATAGCTGTGGTCACATTCAGCATAAGTCATCATGTTGAAAAAGACAGTACTAAATATAGAAAAACATGGTCAGTTTTAATAACTGGATGGATGTACATCTGAAAGACATAAAAATCTTACAGAATATCCTCCAATCACAGCCTGCAGATATCTCTCGATCTGCACTGAAGGCTCCCTACGAAAACCGCACTCTCCAAACTGGTACTGATTTGGTGTAGTAGAACCTAAAGCGTTCGCTCGTCACGCCGAAGACACCGACTCGATTCCCGACATGGGTACAATGTGTGAAGCCCTGGTGTGTACCCCGCCGTGATATTGCTGGAATATTGCTAAAAGCAGCGTAAAACCAAACTCACTCACTCATGCAGAGAGGAGTCAATTGTGATATATATGACTATGATATATGATATATGATATATATGACTAATACTATTAATTTGACAAATTTTCACTGTAATTTGGTCTCAATGAATGGTCTGCTCAGTTTTAAAAAATTTGATTGTGTGTGCTGCGATTGGATTGGTTGAAGAATGTTGTTTTGTAATATGGGAAATCTTCTGTGAGAGTTCACAGAGAAACTCCCTAGTGCTACAGAAAATAACATTTTGTTCATTGACATTTTAATAGTTGAGGTGTTATTGAATATTTGATCCACAGTCTCCTTTGATTTGATTTCAGAATTTGAAACCTCTGACTAACTTGTGTTTCAAATGAAATATTCAGGTGACAAATATCCACCTGCAAAGCTAAATATGCATAAATTGTTTGACACGCATTACCAAGAAGTTGACGGATGACAAGGTAGACAAAAATGTTATGGATAAGAACTTCTTTAATACTGCAAAAAGCGATGTATCGGTATAGATCCTTATACCGTTTTCAAGCAACGGTATGACAAAGGTATAAGGATCTATACTAAAACGTCACTTTTTACAGTATTAAAGAAGTTGTTATCCATAAAATTGTGTCTACCATGTAAAGTCACTTAATCAGATAATCTCCTAATCGTCTACACCGCACTTGCAACGAGGGGGCACGGGTGGCCCAGTCGTCTGAGGCGCCGCGATTCGCTGTGCAGAGTTGCATCCCTTGGGCATGCAAGAAACCTATGATTGTTGGTTCGAATCCCGGTTCGCCCCAATTATGTTTCTAGGTTTGTCAGCACCATACCCATGCTCGTGGGTTTCACCGAAGTGGTAAACGTCTGAGACCTGCATCACTTCAGGCTTTCCACCCACATTAAGCTGACACGCCGCGATATAACTGGAATAGTGTTAAAAGCGGCGTTAAACCCAACTTAAACACTCACTCACTTGCAACGAACTTTCAACTGAAATAAGTACTACAGTACACGGGAATCACGGTGTTAGCGTTGGGCGTCTCAACGTGCGTGATTCCCGTGCACCCTTTCGAGTTGAGTTGATTGGTTCAACTGTGTCATATGGCCCTGTGACGCAGGGGTAGCATTACGCAGATGGCTGTTTCAATGAATGCTCGTTCCACCCGTGCCAAAAGGTCTGGTTGTTGATGAAATATAGTGATAGGTAAATAGACAGATTTTTTATTCATGCACCGATTGTCTTTAAATGTAATATCCAGTTATGTATGACTGTTTAATAATCTCATACCAATTTTGACTGGAGTAGGTCCGATAGTTTTTCAGATATTGTAGTAAACGTGGGTACCTTAAATTACTTTCCAGACTATAGTGCACTAAGTCTGAGCAACATCCTTTCATATTGCAGGGCGGTACAGTGTACACTTTCATTGACAAAGACATGCTTCATGCTGAATACAACATGCACGTTATGTTTGTCCTCATGTCAATAGTTTCTAATGTAAACAGGCAGCAGGACATGTCTCACTTTCAAACTGGTCCTTGGTGATTGGCCATTGGCTCGAACAATCTGGGTTCTTCCTGGAAAATGTGTCTTTAACTTCAGTGAGGTCAAAAAGTGTTTGTTTTGGTTCACAGATCACATCACATTAGCTTAAGATTCGATCCGTGAAGATCCAGGATAGAATAGGTCTTAAGCAACCCATGCTTGCCGTACAAAGCGACTATGCTTGTTGTAAGAGGCGACTAACGGGATCGGGTGATCTGGCTCGCTGACTTGGTTGATGCATGTCATTGTATCCCAATTGCGTGGATCGATACTCATGAGGTTAATCACTGGATTGTCTGGTCCAGACTCGATTACTTACAGACCGCAATCCGAATATAGCCGGAATATTGCTGAATATTTTTTATTTCGATCAATTGGTTGATATTGGTTGTCACTTTAGCATGTTCAGACATCATCTTTGCTAATATGAATGGGTTATTATTAGGGGTGTCACGATAAATCGAAATATTGATATATTGCTATTGGTAAGCACTTATTCTAAAATGATACACTGAAAATGCTCAATATTTATTGCAATAGTCTGGCGATATCAATAGTTATCGCAATAGTTTCTTTCAATATCAATAGTTATTGCAATAGTGATTTCCAGATCAATAGTCACCCCTAGTTTTTATCTTTGCTGGAGGACCAGTGGGTTTATATTTCAGTCTTTTCTGTTTGTCAGTAGTGTAATTGAGTCAGCAACATTTTGTTTGTCAGTGAATGTCCAGTCATGTGCAATATAGTACAATATGGTACAATATGGTATAATATGGTATGTGAGCCGAGCCTGACTGACAGCTGGCGGTCATGAGATTTAAATGTTGGTGAGTTATGAGAACAGATGTCACACAAATCTATACAAGTTAAACACAGACCCTCATCCAATCCCCATAACTTTACAGGATGAAATTGATTTGTGATTGTCCATGACCCAACAAATAATGTAACTACCGTGTATCACACATGCTTGTGAATTGATATTTTAGAAGATATTATGTAAGGATGTGTGTTGGCATACGATTTTTGATGCAATATGTATTAAGTGGTAATTTACACAGAGTTATCTCCCTTGTATGCATGACAACAAAATGGCGGCGACTGACCATGTTGAGAATTATTTTAACCGTGGTATGTAGAAAGAAGGACCTGCATGTACAATCAGTGTCAAACACCGTCAAACACTGTCAAACACTATAGCTCTCAATATATTGCAATACATGTCCCATTATATTGTAGACCCGTGAAGATTCCGGGGTAGAATAGGTCTTCAGCAACCCATGTTTGCCGTAAAAGGTGACTATGCTTATCGTAAAAGGCAACTAACAGGATCGGGTGGTCAGGCTCGCTGACTTGGTTGATGCATGTCATCGATCCCAATTGCTTGAATTTATGCTCATGATATCAATCACTGGATTGTCTGGTCCAGACTCGATTATTTACAGACCGCCATCATATAGCTGGAATATTGCTGAGTGCGGCGTTAAACAACAAACCAATCAACCAACCCATTATATTGTAACATGTGAGATTATTTATTTGGTGAACAAAAAAGTTAGGGATCATACGGTGAACAAAAAAGGTAGGGATCATACATATTTTGGGGGATTTTTTTAGGAAATTGTGTTCACTCTCTGCTACAAAAGGGTGTTCCCAAAAGTATTCATGTTCCTTAACTTTTTTTAACAAATTTGTCCATCATTTTGGCAATGTTTACATAAGTCTAAACAATAGACAATTCAAATAGAAAATATGAAATTATGAATTTAGAAACTGTTTCCTGTGATCGTAACAAAATACGAAGTTGTCAGAAATGTGCGGGGAATTATTTTTTAGTTCTGTTTCATAACCAATTACTGATGCAAGAACTCATGCAATTATTGTGGTATGTATCACAATAGATGAATTATTATTGCAATAAATTGCGATACGAAATTCAAGCCATTACCCGTCTCTATAAATGATAGAAGATGACAGTATACATGATATAGATCAGGGACATCTTTCTGTGTTTCAGAATGCGTTCCATGGTCCGCTGCACAAGTTCGGGAAGCTGATGTACCGGCAGATGCTGAACGGCCACACCGTCAGGGACAGGATCACGAGGGAACAGTTTGTGAAGTCCGGCAAGGAGATTCTGAAGAAATTTGATGAAGTGGAACAGCATAAATATTATTTCAAACTATTTGCTGCAAGCAAGGACTATTTAACTACAGAGGGTTGGTATTTACGGAGCTTTAATTGTTGTGTTTACATTTCCTCTATGTCTTTGATATCATTCTGTTCATGTTGCTAGTTTTGTGGTTGCTGTGGGGATAGGTAGCCTGGTTATCTAAGGTGCTGTTAACTGCTGTGAAGAGTTAAGTCCCTTAGTGCCAGAATCCTATGATCGTGGGGTTGAATCCCAGATTACCCCTGATATGATTCTTAGTTGCCCAGGCTATGGCGCCGCAATTTGCTGTGCAGAGTTACGTCCCTTGTGCAAACCAGAATATTATGATCATCGGTTTGAGTCCTGCTTCTCTCGATTATATTTCTCAGTTTGTCAGCACCATACCTATGCTCGTGGGTTACACCAAAGTGATACATCTAAGACCTGCATCACTTCTGGCTGTCTTCTTACTTTAAGATTGTCCCCTGTGTGACACATAATCCTATCATAATCGATGGAATTATCTTTTAAGGCAACTCATTGTTGAATATATTTTAATATTGGCTAGTATTGTGCACAATAGCTAAAGTGATGACTAAGTCCTGCTGGGATATCGTGCATGAAGCAGAGGCACCATAAGTCCCCATGATTCCCTCTATGTCTTTGATATCATTCTGTTCATGTTGCTATTTTTATGGTTGCTATGGAGATAGGGAGCCTGGTTGTCTGAGGTACTGTAAACTGCTGTGTAGAGTTAGGTCCCTTAGTGCCAGAATCCTATGATGGTGGGGTTGAATCCCAGATTACCCCTGATATGATTCTTAGTTTGTCAGGGGGCACTGGTTGCCCAGGCTATGGAGCCGCAATTTGCTGTGCAGAATTACCTCCCTTGTGCAAACCAGAAAATTATGATCATCGCTTTGTCAGCACCATACCTATGCTCGTGGGATACACCAAAGTGATACATTTAAGACCTGCATCACTCCTGGCTGTCCTCCTACTTTAAGATTGTCCCCTGTGTGACACATAATCCTATCATAATCGATGGAACTATCATTTAAGGCAACTCATTGCTGAATATATTTTAATATTGGCTAGTATTGTGCACAATAGCTAAAGTGATGACTAAGTCCTGCTGGGATATCGTGCAGGAAGCAGGGGCACCATAAGTCCCCATGATCCCCAGCGAGGTGGCCTAGCTTTGGTTACTGGTGGCCTATATCCTGTGTTTAAAACTGTATGAATGATATTGCTGTGCCCAAATGTGTTTGACGAAATTTATTTTTAAATATAACTTTGCATAAATGACTCACTTGTGAATACATCAACTTTTTCTCATTGCTACATGGCTGAAATAAATGCTGATGCTATGTTAAATTTTAACTCTAGTCTCTCACTCCTCCCACATTGAGCCAACAGGCTGTGTGATACAACTGGAATATTGTTAGAGGCGGCATTCAATGCCATTAGATCACTCTTTGTATGTCAACACTCGCCTTGTGTTCACATGTTTCACCATGGTGGTAAACACATAAGACCTGAATTACTCGGGACTTTCCTCCAACCTCAAACTGACACTCAGTGATATTACTGTAATAGTGTTCAAAGCAGTATCAAACCCAATGCACTCATTCCTTGAAGTCACCATATCCCTTACGTAAATGTAGTCAGAGTTCCAGATAATTTTTTGAGCAATTGAGTTTTACTCCAGTGTTTCTATTTTAATTGGGTTATTACATTTTTCATTGGGTAACCAATATATTTTCACTCATCTATTCATCAATCTATAGGGTTTTTCCCCAATTTAGTGAACATTTTAAGATTTATAAAATAATCAAATAATGTTTTGGATGTATATAACTGTTCTAAATAAATAGGCTTGATACGGAAAGTAAATTAGCTCGTAATTGTGTTTCGGAAATTCGCTCCTTTGAAGCTGAAAAATCTTCATTGGGTATTTACACAAGCTGTTTTTATACATTTGAGTTTTTCATTTCATGCATGCGTTTCTGTATGCAAGTTAATTGAAAGTAATTGGGATTTGAATATTTGGGAGGGGGGGGGGGGGGGTATTTTACGTAAATACGCTGCTTATGTGTTTCTGTTCGCAAGTTAATTGAAAGTAATTGGGTTTTCAATATTTTGGGGGGGTATTTTACGTAAATATGCTGCTTATGCTTTCTGTTCGCAAGTTAATTGAAAGTAATTGGGTTTTCAATATTTTTGTTTGGCAATTTTACGCAAATACGCTGCTTATCTGTAGCTCTGTGTTGTGATCATGGGGATGTCTTCACTTGTGAAAGATGACTTCTGTATTTGCCATAATACCTTTTGTGCTTTATTTATTACAACTTAACCAATGGGCTGCTCATTTAAACAATACCCAAGATGAGTTTGTCATCAGAGACTGAGCCATAGAGAACAACTTAATTCAAACGTCGATGAAAATAAAACAGTTTTGATAATAGTGACCAGACAGTTACGGACCCCTTTTAGACTGCTGCATTTTTTGTACAAATTATACGCAAGAAAACACAGACTGTCATGTCAATTTTCGAGGTCTGTATGGGATGTTTATGACTTACACATTGATGAAGAAGTTGGTCGGTGGTGCTTATTGGAGCGAGCGCTGAAGATGGAAATGTTGCATGCTCCATGTATCTAAGTGTGTATCCCTATTTGTATGTGATGGATTTAGTGTTAGCTTTTTTTGATGTTTAGCTGTCAGCATGTGGGATGTAGGATAACTTAAGATTATTTAGGTAAATGCCAAGTCACTATACATGTTTTGTTACCTCCAGCTTAGCATTGTGAGAAGTTCAAAAGCCTGGAGACGCCTTACAAGCAGTTGTAGACTGAGTAGACTGAGTAGACTGTAGATATTAATACAGCTGGTAAACAAATTTATGAATTAGAAACCAAATTGTTTTCACTTTTTGGAATAAAAGGAAAACGTGCATACAACTAAAATGACCAAGAGACTAGGGCTGGGACGGGTTACTCGGGTATCCGGGCCGGGTAGGTACTGAGTAGGACCCGCGTACCCACAGGACTACCAGGACCCGTGGTTAGTCATGTGATATATAGTGTAATGACAAAAATTATGATTACACTACAAGTCACTAATGTTTGCATTTCTTTCTAACTATGCACCCATTCCTTTTGATTGAATTCAACTTCAGTGTATGAATGACCAGATTGTTTAATACATGTATCTAAATACGTTTTGCCAGGGCTATGCTAAAAATGTTCCCAGTTGGACATTTGGAGACATCCCCTGAGACCTACAGTGGGCACCCGGGTAGTGTCGGGTAATAGAGGGGTGGGTACCCGGGTTGTAAATTTGGACTCATCCCAGTCCTACAAGAGTCATTACTCTCTATAATCAGTGGCTTTGTGTTTAAAGGGGTGAATCTTGATTGGGGACCCGTGAGGATCACGGGTTGAATTGATCTTCAGCAATCTCATTAAGATCAGACCTCAGTTCTCGCTACCGCTAAACAAAGATCTGAGGACATCCCATTACGGGTCACGTCAGAACGATCTTTCATCCGACTAATCAGAGCATCCCTTACCAGATTATGAAAGTGACAGTCGGAATGTGATTTCTAATCATGCAGCCTTGAAAACTTTAACTCCGAACGATAGTTACAGGTTTAACGACTGTATCCATACAATCTAGACCATCTATTAGTCATTCCAGAATGTTCTTTTGTTCAGGTTTCAAATTTGTAATGGAGAATTTGTCAAAATACGTTTCGAAGCGTAGTCGCCAATTTGAAATTAGTGCCATAAAGCATGAGAAAGCTGCCTTCTGATTGGTCATTCCATTGGTCGGTCAAAGTTCGCGCAAGGTCGGTCTGACGTGACCCGTAATGGGATGTCCTCAGATCTTTGTTTAGCGGTAGCGAGAACTAAGATCTGATTTTAATGAGATTGGGTCTTCAGTAACCCATGCTTGTCGTAAGAGGCGACTAATGGGATCAGGTGGTCAGGCTCGCTGACCTGGTTGATGCTCATGAAGTCAATCGCAGGATTGTCTGATCCAGATTCAATTATTTACAGACTGCCGTCATATAGCTGGAATATTGCTGAGTGCAACGTTAAACAAACAAACAAACAAACAAACAAACAAATAAACAAACAAACTTGATTCCATGGACTCAGGTAAGCAGGAGGTGAAGTCAGTTCGGAGAGCAAGGAGATTGTAGGGAAATGCTTGAACATGTGTCTTACATTGGTGGAGGCTTCGTAATCCACTGACTGCCTTGACGAACGCTTAGTCTCTGAAGCTATGTCATTTTTATTGAAATAAGCAATTACCATTTAATTGAAAAGAAACCCCAGTGAGATCGGGGTTTGCCTGTGGAAAAATCAAGACTTGCTTTATACAGTCCTGTTAATCCGACATGGTTGGTTACATATGATTATGCAAGTTTATCTCTGCATCTGTTGTAATATTCAGTATCAAGCCAACTTGTCTCACATCAAAACACGGGGCTGTATACCCCCGGGCAGATGATCACAGGGTACGGTACACTGATCACTGTGTCAGATTAATGAGACTGATTAATGAGTGATTTCGGTAATTCCTTGCAAATTATGTGTGTCGGAGTCGGAGTGCGAGACTGTCGGATCAACGGGTCTAAATAGCACTGATTGAATCAGTTCCCAACATTTGTGTTGGATAGAGCTGATTGTCGGATTAACGAGTATTGGATGAACAAGTATTGGATGAACGAGACTTGACTGTATGTAGGGTTATAGCATTACAGAAAGGGCTTGGCTTGGGGGAAAATAATATGGTTCAGTGACTGTGAAACAGGCTAACTGATTGCCTGTGTTTGTCTGAGCTGGGTTGCAGTTATAACTAAATAACTACCAACGATGAAACCAGTTCTCTTGATCAGTTATTTGTTTGCCTTCAGAATATTTAGGGCTGGGATGGTTAACCAACTGTGAAATCCGATACGTTTCACAATACCTTGCACACAAGCTGATACGTAGCACGATACTTGCATGTGCTCTTATCTGTAGTGCATGAGCTATTTTTTTCGTAGACAGGAT